GATCAATATAGCATGAGAGTGAAAGCAATACTGCAAATAATACTACTAATGTGGAAAAAAACCCCGTGCCTCTATCAATTAGTTAACAAATTCTTCTCTACTTCTTAAGTAATACCAGAAAAAAGTTAACATTTATTTCTGAAATAGGTAAGAATCTTCAAACAGAATCTAGCATTAGAAGATCTGAAGCAAAGGAATCATAATTGCATCTGCAAGTGTAAATTTCCTCTATTTCAGCATGCTCAACCCATTTATGACATTACTGAACAAGTCTTATATGGCTTGACTACTAGTATCAGACCAAGGTCATATCACAGGATGCTGACAATGAACATAAAAACCGAAGAAGCTTATTTTATGTTATAGCAGAAGGAAAACTACAAATGTAAAAGTAGCAATTTTCACTATTCAAACTCTTGTACAAGCCACTCTTTCTATTCACAGTATTTTTATCTCTGTTTCCTTATCTTACAAAGTAACAGAAGCAAAATGACTTTGAACTTTTGAATCATATTTAAAACACTAAAAACTGTGTACAAATAAAGCCATACTGAATTCAATCTATACACTATTATTATATCATTTAGTGCAATAGGGAATTTTAGTCTACTTGAATCTAAAAATAGTTTCTAATGTTGCGTGCCCAAATATTGCTGGAAAGAAATCTCTGGGACCAATCAGTGTGCATCCAAAGTCAGTATGCTTTCTCCTTCTGCTGAATTTGCTTTTTTATTGCTTAAGTGAGCAGAAATATAACTGCAATAAGTACAAAAGAATAATGTTACCACAAGCCAATATACCACATTGAGCATAAGACCAAGGTTCATTATGTTAAAATTATCATTTTTTTGACTGTGACATACAGCTCAAACTGTACTGCTGCAATTATTTTTCTAAACTGGCAGCCTGACTATAATTTCTGGGATTGATTCCCCAGTTCCCAGTATTTCTCATTGCTCAGTCCTTTAGGCATTAATTCCTCAAAAGCAATCATAAAGGAGACTCAGAAGTCAGACATACATAGGGAAAAGCTTCAGGGAGACTTGAAAAAAATATAACACCAATAGACCATAAAGAAACAATTAACCCAATCATTTTTCTGTAGAACAAACGTTCAGATCACAAAGAAACATCCATATAAAGAAGCATATCACTGATAAAAAGAAAACAAAAACTCAGTGTCCAAACAACCCTGTACAAAAAAAAGAAAAAAAAATTCTGCCAAAGGACTCTGTATTAACAGCAGATCCAGAAAGTCTCTGCTAAAATTAAGCATGCTGTCAAATACGATAATATTCTATTTGCAAAATTATGATTTTGAAATGGCTGACAGTGTCAAAGAATGTTGCCTTCATATTAACAGCCTCTGATCACTTCTATTCACAGAAACTTCCTAACAGAACTCTAGTATCTGAAGGACTTCAAATATATTAATTTGACTATAAATTATCTGTATTAGAAATTACTGCCTTGTGGAAAGTGACATGATTTGCAGATGAACCATAGAGCCCAAATTTCTTCATTTTTCATAACACCACTAGCCCATATTATCATCTTCCTTCTTCATTTTGTTTACATTTATTATTTTACTGGACCCAGATAAATTAAAATGTAAAGATTAATTAATGTATGAATACACAAGTCCTCTTTTTAAAGGAACAGATCAACTCAAAAATTACAGTACCAAGTGACTATAGTACTATAGCCATTACTGCATCATTTTTGTTCAAAAAACAACAGAAAAAAAAAACAACAGAAAACAAGAACTAAGTATGCATGATGAATTACACTCCTGGTAACTCCAGAATATGAATGAAGCACCTTCATAAAGAGGAACACAGTCATTAGTACATTGTTACTGATTACTCCCCTGATATCTGTCAAGAAATATTCTTGAGCACAATCAGAAAATTCTCTTCTGATTGGCATTCATCTAACCAGAGATCTTTAACTTGCATGCCAAGCATGTGCCAGGAAAGCTTAATGAGGCTTCAGTTTGCCAGTCTCCCTCAACAATTCTTCAATCTCTGTCTCAGATGTAAACATTACGCTCACCTCAAATCTATAATTTCTATTCTGGTGTTCTCACAAAAGCATGCTGGTAAATTAGATAAACACAGATGAAAACAATATCAAATTCCAGTTCCAGATAGCACATAACTGCCATGTCCAATAAAACTCTTAGATACTTCCTTCATTCAGTAAGAAGACAGGTGCTTAACAGCTACTTGAAATTATTCTAAGACAATGGGTTTTTTTCCTAACAAAACTACACCATTACCTACCAGAATGGCAATCATCATGCAAAGAGGAAAGACTGCAATGTATATGCTTGCTGGGATGCTGTTCCTTCACATAAGATTAAGACAACACAAAGCTGATAAACTACTGGATAAAACAGCAAACAACAAGCAGAATCCTTGAGATTAGCAAACCAGTGCCATCACATCATTATCTAGCCCGATTATATCATACACACTCCATGCTTAAAACATAGTGTAAAATTCCTATTTAACTATAATGTTGAAAAAGCATAAGCAGGCAAAAGGAATATAAATCTCTAATTAAAAAGGAGCAATTTCACTGCAACCTACCACGTATTTAAGTCTTTAATTACTTTACTAGATAAATCTTAATATTAGTATCATCCTTTTTATGTAGATTACCATAACACTTTCTGAAATATGCTCTGTCTAGCCCTCAAGGTATCGAAACATATCCATGCATGATACAGATCATAGGCCTAAGCTGTCTCTAATTTTCAGAAAGATGCTTAACAGCTAATTGCAGTATCGTGCCTGGAAAAACTGCAGCTCTGATAAAAAAGAAAGAGAGTGTACAGTTTTCCCAAACTAGTGAGATGGAAGACATAAATCAATGACTTCGGGCCTGGAATAAGGAGGGAGATGTACTGATGAGGGACCAGTTAACACCACCCAGATCAACAATACCTAAGCTTATGCTAACTAAAAGAATAATATTCCTTAGTTACAAGAAGAATAATCAATTAACAGGCATGCTGTCTCTCTCTGAAGTCAAGAAATTTTATCTGTAGCTCTAAGAAACAGCTACTGTTGACTAGAGGTAATAATTGAGGGGGGAAAAAAAAAAAAGATCAGGAAGCCCAGCAAGACCTATCACTTAAAGTATAAAATAAGAGTTCCAAGCAAAATGCATGTACAAAGTGCACGTAAACAGTAAAGCATACAGCAATGTTGGAATCAGACCTGTAACGACAGACACATCAGCTCCATCCTGCACTACAGAGTGACAAAGTGTCTAAGGGAGTGTGAGGATGAAACTCCAGTTCTGCTTACTGAAGAGATTCTGGAGAACAGCACCTGAAAAATCTGCACATTACGGTACCAAAATGCTAAGGCAACAGGAAAAAAGAATATATTTGTTTTCCTTTTTGATGGATAGTTTTGATGCACAGTTCGATAAGCTTCACAAGGCAGGTAAGATAGAGTAAAGTAGCTTTATTCATCAGCTTTGGCTGGCTGTATGTGTGATTGCTGGGTAAAGCAGATGTACTTTTTCTAGTTATTTCAGAGAAGCAAATCCCTATCTTGGGCAAATTTCCTAGCTTTTGTAGCCTGTATCTGCCCAAGATGGTGGCTCTCTATAGTTAAAACACTCAAGTAAACTCAAAAAAGAGCATCTGAGAAGTTCTGAGTATTGTGATACCTAGTTATAGAGCATTAAATTCATAGCTGCAGAATAATTTATTTATTTATTTTGTACAGAACTCTGTTCTATATAGCACTGTCATTTATCATCATTATTTATGGACCTGCTTCTTTTTCTTAGTTTCTACTTTGCTTGAAGTGTCTTAAGGTACCATATAGTATGCAATAACATGCACATCTTCAGTCTATAGTGAAGATCTGGACAAGCATATTCAGAATGATTGCCTAACATTAAGCTTCTTGTTTATGCAATTAAGTTAAACAATGGAATTTTGTGGTCACTACTTTGCATTAAAATAAAATTTTTAAAAATTACTTAAAACACCTAAAAGTCAAATCAGAAGCCCAGACTTACACATTCCCAGGAAAGCCATTCACCCTGATTCCAGTTGCTTTGTGCCAGTTAAAAGTTAGATGAAAATGCTCTAAGAAAATTTCTCAAGAATTGTTCAGTTGAGGAGACAGAGAGGAAATCTTTTGCTACATTCTAGTAAACAAAGGTTGTTTGTCTAAACATAAAGGTTGTATGTCTAAAAACAGAACTATTTTTTCCATATCTTTTTATGTTTGTACAGTATGTATTTTTAACACCTTGCACACTAATTGCAAACCTGCACACTACTTAGCTACAGAAGCATATACAGAGATATGAAACACATAGATGACATATGCATCAAAATCAGTTTTTAAATTACTATTTTAAATCCAGAGAGTAAAGCTGGTTTACCAAAACTATGGGAAAAGAGATATTCATTCTTCCCATATGAAACTAAGCAAAAGTTTGGAAAGTAAGACATATGTAAAGACTCTGACAAGTTTTTGATGATACTCAGAAGCTTGTAGCCTTTTTCTTGAATGAGAACTATAGTATCTTAAACTAACTCCCAAATGTCCAATGTCTATCAAAAAACAGCCAACAAGTAAAAAGCACCTTTAAAACAGTGTAGGGAACTACTGCTTACATTTAAGATTCGTATTCAGAGGATTCTTATAGCACTTTTATCTACGTTTACACAATTAAAACTTGATCTTAAACACAACTGATGTGAATTTGAATAAGGTATATCTGATTGGTGAATATACTTGTTTTAAATTACATCATATTGTTCCGAGCTTTTTGCAAAGACGTCTCCAATGTTTTTAGAAAAATCTGAATGAAAAAAGGCAAAAAGTAGCTGAGGATTCAGAGGCCTCGCTATTTACATTTCCTATCCACAAAGAAATTATTTCATTTTTGCTTTGCAAATACTATATATATGGTCTCATAAAGACAGAACAAGATCAGAAAAATATATTAAATAATAGACCCACCTTCATTATTAGTTGCTCGCTGTTTAACCAAAGTCATTGGAGATCTAGCTGGGGATTTTTTGAGTGGATGATGATAACCCTTAGATATTTTCTTTCTTTCAACTTGCACTGACTGAAAAGAAAAAAAAGCATAACTAATTTAGTATGTAATTCCACAAAGTTAATTTTGATGAACAAAAACATTCTTCTGTAAAGAAGCACTGATGCCAATTCTGTAAATATTACCAGAGTACTTGAAGCACCTTTAGTGTACTGATTAAGCGTTTGTCTCTAATTCAGAATACATACTTTAATTAAAAAAGGAGCAATCCTTGTCAAACACAAATGGTTTGGGGTATAAGTTACTGCTGCCCTTCCCAAATTACAGAGCATAAATCCTGGTTTGATCAGATGAGGTTTGAGAGGAAGAACAGCCCAAATACTTCTATAGAACTAGAAGTACAATACAGCCACTAACTGCAGAAAATGTAGGAGATGAGGTAGAAATGTAGAAAATGAGGTAGAAACCCACTGACTGAAAGAGGGCAGAATTCCTGAGAAAGTAAAAAAAAGATCTGGAGTTGAGAAAAGAAGAGTCCTGATATGCAGTTAACATGTTGATTTGGGATATGAGGAAATTCCTTCCTCTCTCAAGCACCCTTATGTACATTCAGCTCAAAGTTATACTTCAAGAATTAAAGCCAATGCCACAAATTCTAGAAGTGTAGCTTTCACAACTCCAGGTTTGAGTGTGAGTAGGGGAATCACGAAGTAAACCAGCTGCTGATGGTATCTTGAGTTTCAGGAGCAGAGGAAAGGCAAGCACACTGGCAGAAAGGTGGGAAGGACAGAGGCTCACATGATTTCTACAGACCACAGCATTCTACTCCACAAGGCCCTGAATCTAACCTAGCAGGTTACACACATGCTCCTTGACTGATTTGAAGGTTTAAAATTACTACTGTAAAATGGGAAGTAAATTATGAAACAACATTGTATTTACTGTGGAAAAAAAAATAGGAAAGATGTGGTTAAAGCACAGGACACATTTATGATCTAGAAAAAGTTACCAACTAAATAAAAAAAGAAAGAAGATGAGCCTTTTTAATTGCCTCTGTATAATGCTTTTTCACTTATAAGAGAAAGAAAGAGTATACAATTATACTGCAGAATATCTGAAACCTCATATATATGTCTGAAAGGAACAGAAAGAGATAAATATAACCTCTAATACATGATGATTAAAACACTGAGTTGTTTATAATGCTCCTTATTATTACAGTGGAAGGGCTGGAGCCAAGACTTTTAAAACACAACATTGCAAAAAAAATCATTAGTGCACATTTCATGTCTGTGGAAGGGTCTGCATGATTTTACTTTGGCTTCTAAAATATATTTCCCACTAAATCTGTCAATCTGGCAGTGCATTTCCTGCTCTCTCTCTGCCAAACTGAGATTGAACTCACAACTCAGAAAGCTACTGTGACTACCACCCCATGGCTTAATTTTTCATTATGCTTCCTGAAGTCAAAGCTGCTCACCCTTCACAGCTGCACAGCAAGAGCAAAAAAAATACTTTAAGTTTGTAGAGGTGCTCCAATGAGAAAACATTATTAAACCTGCTATTTAAAAATTATAAAATATATTCCTTTTATTAGAGTGATCTTTTCCTTCAGGTGTTTCCTTTACACATTTTAGGCCATTTCCAAAATCCAAGAACAGTGAATTTCAAACCCTGAAAATCATAGCCTGTATGATCCTGCTATACCCATGTCTTGAAGATTCTCTTTCTCCAACTTCAATACTTTGCATAGTTTCAACTAAAGCAAGAAAGTCTGTAAGATTTCATAAACTATGTGAGATAATGTAACAGAATGAAAGTAAACTTTGTTCCCACCTAACACAATGAAGATATGCTCCTCAGCTTTGCTTCATCCACTCTGTCATTTGAGAAAGGCATCAGTCCTAAAATAAATTACCATGTGCTTCCACACTGATATGTTCTCTCCTTTATCAGTAAGTCTCCCAGAATCAACCCATTCTGCTGACATTTACCAGCATACTGTTAACTCTCCTTAAGACTCAGTCAAAACAGCCATTTTTTATAAACACAAATACATCATACCAAACACAACACCCATCTCTAATAATTTCAATTCCATGTAAACATCAATAATTAAAGCTGATAGCCTTGCTCTTATTAGCAGGCAGCAAACATAGAAATAGCTTGAGAATAGTTGCTGACAGTTCAGATTCACAGATGTAAAGTGAAATTACTAGATGTCTAAAATTAGAGGGAAAATATGTCAACAAGTAAGATCCAGACACATTCTGCTTTCAGATCCAAATTCCCACTCTTGCCTGAACACTTCAAAACATGTTCAAACTAGCATCTGATTAAAATCATGCATATTCTTAAGTTCTTTAATATGGATATCAGGTGTCATTAGAAACATGTTCATTCACATTTCATTAAATCAGGACTATACTACTATAATGACATAATTAGCTTCACATATACTGGATGTTTCAATGCGATCTTCTTCATCTTTTTTTGCAACATGCACTTCTCCATGTTCCATGCTACTTACACAGCTTTCCAGGTTGCTGACATCATCCTCTACTGAGACATTTTCCTCTTTATCTGGGTTTTCTCTTTCAGAAGTTTTTCCCCCTGACTTGCAGTATGGTATGGATGAAATTAACCGATTCTTAGATTTCAAGCTCTCTGCTTTTCTACAGCTATCAGAAGCAGGCATGTGGACCACAGAATCTTCAAATGTAAAGAGAGGATGACTGGAATCTCTCGTGTCCTCATCTTCCATTTTTGTTTTTTCTAGTACAGGAACACAGCTCAAAAATGAGCCTGAATGGTTGCTTCCTATAGATCAAGAATATGCTTTGTTAATAGATCTCACTTTATACTACTGTATTTCATTTCACAACAATTTGAGTTACTCAAATTCAAAGCATGTTTCCTCATTTAGAAATCATACAGAAAAGCATGTGGTAGAAGGACATACACAAATGTGGAATACAGGTTTGACCAAAGAATAAATTGAATGTAAATGTTTTGAGTTTGGAGTGTGAAATACAGCTTCAATCATTTTATCTGTATTTTGTATTTGAATTACAACAGGTCTTCATGTCATTCAAAATAACCAATATTCATGTAGCTTGTTTACTCTGACAGCCCACAAGCACTCTGACTATATTTTTAAGAAAAAAAAACTATAAAAATATTGATATACTGAACTTTATACCCTCCATTTATACCTATTATGCCTGTTTTAAAACTGAAAATAAACAAATACTAACAGTTTGAAATTAAGAAGATATATTTCAAATAGATATCAAGAATATTTTTAAAACAGCACCAGTCTAAAAATGAAAAGCAATTAGCATAATTTTGTATTTCAACCATAATTTTCTATGCTGAAGGGTGAAATTTTGTGGATTTAACTTTATAAAAACTCTTCATCTGCTGATGCTTGCATGAACAATGGGTTAGAGAGGTCACCTATAAAACCATAGTTCCTGAAGAACTCTATGGCACACACCACAGTGAATTTTGATTCAGCAGCACACCTAAGACATTAATAAACAGTCTCTGAAAAGTCCCTTTCTATTCTGTCTTTACAATGGTTATTTAAATTTGTTTTTCTGAAAAAGTCCTTTACAGATCAAATTAATATGAGATTCAGTAATACAAAGCCAATCCAACACCAAACCATAATCTGTGGGAGCAAAGAGTACTGCCTTGACTGAGCATAATGGACATACTAGACAGAGATAATGCAGGACAAATGGCCGTATCCAATCAGAGTACCGGAGCTTCCACCATCATATCTAAAAAGGTCCTTTTCCCTACAAAGGTCCACACACCACCCTTTAACAGCACAAAGGAAAGAGGATAGCACTCCACTCCTCTCTGCTCTTTCTTCCCTTGTCAATGAATACAGAATGGCTGCTAACTAAATACTAGTTTCGCATTGGTCACAAACACTCCAAACCTCTATGAAAAGGTGAGGAAAGCTGTAAAGGAATAGCATCTTTAAAAAAAAAAAAAAACAAAAAAAACCAAACATCATTAGAACAGACCTGAAAAGGCTCTGATAGACTACCAACTAATTTGTGCACAAGGAATTTCTAAGCCCCCATATTGGAACATTCACTTTGTTATATTTATGTGGATCAATCTTGGTGTTTACCATCTCCAAACAACCGTTAACATAACCATTCATATTCACAATCAGGGAAATTCTATGCACAATTTGCAAGTAAATTTTCAATATCAATATAAAAACAAATGGGACTGCTCACAAACTTAGTTAAAATGGCAGTTTTTCTTTCTGAGTAGAAATGTGAAACTACACCTGAACTACAATGAAATGTGAAGGAGAAGTAGTAAAGTCCAGAATAAACCAAGTATATTATTATACAATAGTTGTATGGAAAAAAAATAACCATCTTTGGCTTGACAAGACCTTTATAACTTGCATTGTCAGACAGCTCAACAGGAAGTTACAGTCTCAGAGGAATTTTGTGCATAAATATAGTCCACTTCTAATATGCAGCATTATTCACGTACATACATGTAGTGTACTACAAACATATATGCTCTGTACTGTTCACTTAAGTGTTATGACACTATTATTTTCACATTAAAAAAAATTAGCTGTAAAAATTTTCAGTCTGTTGAAGAAACATAATTTACCTCGTCCTTTCTCTACCTTTAAAAAACACTTCACTAAATAGGCAACATTACCCTCACCTCAGAATATTAATTTTGGTATTTTCTTGTTCTCACTGAATATCAATCTACCCTGCATAACTTTATGTATATTTTAGTATGCTACTTAGGATAATGTTATGCTTTAACATCCACTGATTTGTGGCATTAGAGTATCAACAGCCTACAACTTACATGTGAAACATAATCAGTCCTTATCTCACCTGCAACCTTGACATTATCCAATAAATGTTGATCCAGCCGTATCCTACTACTGTTTTCTTCTTCCCCAGAAGGCACTCCTGTGTTTAGCACTCTCATTTTTTTTCCAGGTTCTTCACTGACCTTGAAGCCATCAGTCGCTGCTTCAGTTGCTATGATTTCTGCACCAGCTACCATAGCAGATACTCTCTTGTCCTCTGGAGTTTTAAGCATTTTTGATTGAGATCTGGTGTAATGGGAGCTGTTATAAGAGATATTGCTGTCAGAATGTCTGTCTTGGATAAGATAAAACATCTACCAATATATATGTCCCTTTCACCTGCTTAAAGTGGTAAAAAACTGACAATATTTCACCTTTTTGTGTTGAGATAGTGTTTACAATTTATTAAGTGATAGATTAACAATTGACTGAATTTAATCTTCTAATCTTTTATCACCATTCTATGGTAAAGTTATTACACTGTAAAAGTAAAATAACCTTAGGTAACTATTACTTAACCAGCATTCAAACAAGCTTTTTAATGAATGATACTTTTGAACCTGAAAGAGAATAAGCCTTCTAAAAGTAACGAAGACAAAACATTCTCAGCTGCACTAAAAATCCGGTAGTATTTCCAAACCTCAGTGATACTAAAACACGAGTCTGAATACCCTTGTAAAATCAGATCTTTTTAGGCATCTTAGAGAAGTTTTTATAGGCACTTTAATACAAACAACAACCATCTGAAAGAAGGAAAATTTCTCTTCACCAAATATTTTGAATAGCTACAATATTAAGCAGTAACTTTCATAATGCTGTGTAAAACACAAAGTTAAAATTAAAATTTCAGCCTAAGTTTTTGTCTCCTCAGAAGCAGAAGGGAAAGGTCAAAGCAGGAGAAATGGCACCCTCTGTCAGAAACTGGTTTGCATTTTATGTGCTTGGGACAAAAAGTAACAGATAAGTTACTTTTAGTAAGAGATTAGTGCAGTTTCAAAATTCAACTATGTGACACAGGAGGAGATGTTTATGTGCTTCATCACACATCAGGTTTCAAGACTTGTTAACACACTAGTGATAAATGCTCAACTATGGCAAGGTAAACCAAGAGTTTTCAAAAGTCTTGCATCCTAGACTACAGACATCTCCAGAAAAAAATTCTGGTACCCCTTACATCCTATCTTATGTCCACCAATATGTATCATTCAACACCAACCCTATAAAATAGTAATTTCCAGAAAATTTGCCAAAGTATGAGATACTCATCAGTTCACATTGTAATATAACAGCAAGTATTATTACTGTTTACATGCAGCCATTAAATGTTCTATTGTATCAAAGTATTTCAGCCATAAATGTCAGAGTTAAGCTCTCCCTGTCACTATATTCATGACAATTTCCATAGATGGTATTGCTATTTTCACTCTGCTGGAACTTATATTATTCCTGTAATCAAAATGACAACAATTTCAATTGACACATTACACTAGAAATTAAGCTGAATAAACATTTTATCATCCCTTTGCAATATACATTGTTACCATGCCTGAACAAAAGCCAACTCAAGAATTAAACAGCACTGAAATTGTGTTTATTAGCTTAGCTAAGTGCATGAAATCAGCCCACATGTTCCTTTGATAAAAAAACTTTCAACAGAACTATTATAAAGTCTTTGCTTTTAGTTAAAACTGGCTACCCATAAGGGTACTACCAAATGAATCACTGCTGGTTGAAGGGTGAACTTTGCAGCTAATTGTACAACACATAGAGTGAAACTAGCTCAGGGCAAAGTGCCATTCAAGTAGCTAAACAACATAATTACTCTCTCTGTGTGTCCTGGTTAATATTATACATATACTAACAAATTGGCTGTCCAGCTGCTTCACTAGTTGTCTTCAAGAACTGATTCTACCCCACAAATTATTCTTACCCAGAATAAACCCAATGATATAATTCTCAATTATAATGTTCCACTACAGTGGCAGTTGGTCCTCTTCTTCACAGGTTGACTTCCCTATCATTTTCTTCTCAAAATACATTAACTTACAAATAAAATGAGGAAATACAGTTTAAAAGTAAGTTAAAAAACTAACAATATTGTAAAACATTTGAAAGAGGAAAAAGGTCTTTAAAAAATCTGTATTATGTTTAAACCAGCAAACTGCACTCTGCAGTAAATAGATACCAATAAAACTGCCTACCCTAGGCTAGAAATTAAGTAGAACTTTATTAGATAATAAAGATGAAAATCCATAAAGATACTGTTAAGTAAAACAGGAAAGCATTAGTGTACAAAAAATGTTTGTTCAATGCAAACAAAAAACATGATGCACAACAAGAAAACAGATCCAGCTAAGAAACAGCTTTAATATGTTAAAGCTTTGACAGCTTCAGTGGCAAGCTGAAACTTTTTTCTCCTAATTTTCTTAGTGGTGTCAGCACCAACAGCTGAGATTTAGGACTTCCTTATGCCAAATTATGATCTGTGATTGACCTGTGGTAGACACAAAGAGGTATCAGCTGCAACACTGTGAGAGTCTGACAAATAGGCAGTGACACCTCCTTTGAGTTAGATGGCAGTGAGGACTAAGACTATTGCTACAGACTTCATACAGCTGTTGGGATTCTGTCACAGCCCCATGATAAATTTTTCCAATTTAACCTTTACCTCAACTCCTAGGAGACTTTTCCCTTGTCATTTGGTTGCAAATGTCACTAGAAACAATGACTATCATCCACACCTTGAAAATTTTAATGGAATAATCTCTACTAAAGAAAGATTCTAAACACCACACTGGAATGTGTTTTGAGGCTCTCTGTACTGATTAACTGCAGCTATACGCACAAACTGTAAATTGAATTAATTTTTCACAGTCACTCTGAAAAACCCTAAAACTAAATTAATTCAAGTAAAACAGCAAATAAAGCAAAAAAAAAAGTAACTAAAAGGAAATTGACATCATATTGAAGACAATTAAATGGAGAGTAAAGAAACATAAATACCAGCTGGGAATTTTCTTCATTTTCTTTCTTCTCCGTAGCCAGACCTTTACTTCAGGTGTTGATTCAGGAATTGGTTTTGTATGATCAATGGTGTAGAAATCCTTTCCCTGTTTCCACAGCTTGTATCTTTCTCGTTGAAACTTCCTCACAAAGATGTCCATGGGTAGTGTCACCATGTCTCCCCTACAAGTGCACTGCAAGAGAAGACAGGAATTTATAAGTGACAAGTAATGGAATATGCTGCAGTTTGCAGTAAAGAAAGTCCAAAATAAAGATTCCACATGTGAAAACTAACTCCTCTTTAATCAAAATTGTCCTTTCCCCTTCTTCCTCACTTCTTCAGGGAATAAGGATCGTTCAAGTGAAGACACTATATGAACAAATGTGACACACTAGGACTCCAGAAAAGTACTTATGGACACTCCAGTGCTTCATTAACTCCTACAGCTTAAGACTAAAACCAAACCATAGCATTTCTTTTTGGTCTATTAGCTGTTCTTGATAGTTTCAAGCATAATACCATGTTAAATCCAGAGACTGCACATATCTTTAGTGGCAACACAATTTTCTTTTTAAAAATAACTCACCTGTATCCACCTGACCCAAAGGCCTTTACAGGCATATACAGTCCTAGGTTTTAACTCTTCAAAACAAAATGCTGTCCTGGTTTCAGCCAGGATAGAGTTAACTTTTCTTGGGGATGAGAAGGAGCACAGCTGTGAGGCCAGGCCTGGATTGGCCACTGGAGTATTCCACATCACCTGACATCATGCTCAGTGTATAAAGGAGGCAGCTTGGGTTGGCACAGAAGGATCTTTGGTGCAGCTATGATTGCAGCTGGGGGAGGACTGCATACAGGTCACCAGGTGGTGAGCAACCACATTGCGTATCACCCATTTGAACTTCCTACTGTTACTGTTGGTTTCTTAATATTATTAAACTGGGGGGTTTTATTCAAACCACACAAAAGTATACCAGTACCCAGGTTTTTCTGCAAAGCAAGAGAGGAGAATATGATGTTTAAGGTCTATAAGACTGTGTAATCTGACCATCTGTATAATGCAGACCCTAGAAATCTCATGCAGTACTTCCCTCAATGTTGTTTGAGTCTCTTAATTTAGTCCAAAATTTTTCCTTTACAAATTATGCATGAGTGGTGCATTTATTTCAAATAAATAATAATGAAAATGCAGAGGAATCTTCCCATGGAATACTGTAGATGCTGAGACAATTTTCAGACTAAAGCTACTATACCTAATGCTTCAAAATGCTTAGTGTCAAGCAACTGCAATAAGTACATCAATAAGACTACAGCACAAACTATTGTGGTGGGTTAATCTTGGCTGGCTGCTAGGTGTCCACCAACCTGCTCTCTCATTCCCCCTCCTCAGCAGGATAGGGAAAGAAAATAAGATGAAAAAGCTCATGGATTGAGATAAGGACAGGGAGATCACTGACCAATTACTGTCACAGACTCAGTTTGAGAAAACTAGATTAATTTATTGCCAGTTAAAAACAGATTAGGATAGCAAGAAATAAGAACAAAATTAAAACCTGCTTCCCTCACCTTTTTTCCCAGGCTCAACTTCACTCCCGACTCAGTATCTGCAGGGCTGTTTCTCTCACATTGTCTTCACTCCCCTCTCTCACAGCTGCTGCACTTTTTTTACCCTTTCTTAAATATATTATTACAGAGGCACCACCAGAGTCGCTGAGAGGCTCAGTTTTAGGCAGCATCAGCTTCCTTTTGAAGCCAGGTGGACCTGGCTCTGTCTCATACGTGGGATCTGTCTGATCCCTTCTCACAGAAGCCACTGCTGCAGCCCCCCTATACTACCAAAACCTTGCCATGTAAACCCAGTACAGTTATTCAGATTAAGAGCAAACTGACTGGTTAAAACGTATAGTCTCAAATGGAATAACTTATAAAAAACTTACTAAATGACTCTGTTCAAGGGCAAAACTGAGACAGTATTTGCTTTCAGGTAAAGAGAGATAAACAAAAAAAAATGGTAAATGCATGGCCTGGCTTTCTTATTTGCTACAGCTAGTTTTATTGTCAGTTTTAAACAAAAAGGGTGTTTAAGCACATAAAAGTTGCAACACACAAGGGACAGAATACAGCTTTTCTACTAGCTACATTTCTGTGTGCTGGATGCAAATTTCTTTATCTGCTGTTTTCACCCATCATTTCTAGGCCACCCTTCATCCTCTTGAAAATCATGATACATAAGGAAAAGAAGGCATCTGAGATGTATTAAAAATGCTTGCAGTCCTTTCAGTATGTCAGCATCAATATGCTGTATATTTGCAATACTGCCCTCTAATGGGAGATGCAATGGAAAAAAAAAAAATCAATATAGAAATTTTAAGTTTATGCATTGGTCTTTTAATGATAGTTTTTACCTAAAATATGATCAGACTTTTTTGTTATTATTTGTATATACATACAAATACACAGATTCTCTAAAAGACTTAACCTTATCTGAAATAGTATGTCTCATTCTGTGAGTCCTTCGTTATTCGCAATGAACACTAACAGAATAGTAAGAAAGATACTTACCTATACTGGAAAGGTGAATAGATAGTCCATTGTACTATTTTTAACTTTTAAAAATGTAGTTTGTAACATAAAGACAAATCAATTCTGGGTTTTCTCTCTATTTACACTCAAAATCCTTTCATATTCAAGCCATACTGCTGGACATCGATTAGAAATGGTTGTTAAAGCAAAAATTTAGAGAATTATTGCTTTTGCTGTTACACACCAAGACTTCCAGTGGTTTAGAAGAAAATATTTAAATCAGCACTGAAGTATCAAAAAAGAAAATACAACAAGAAACAAAATGTATTCTATGATGGAATTATAATATATGAAGAGACTCAAAATAAATGATGTCTAAATGGTGTACAGAATTCTTTCAGTAGTCTTTGATTGGTTTCCACTACATTTTAATAGTACTGCAACTAATTTTGAAAAAACAAGCAGGTATTAGAAACATTTTTTTTTTAAAAAGTTTTTAAAACATACACTTCTGAGTAAAAAGTAATGGAGAAACATTATGCTCAACAGTATAACTGCTTGCCTGAAAATACAGGAGACAGGCATGGAGGCACTAAAGGGTGGGACTATTTGAAAGTGTATCAGACAACAAGAGCAGACATGTTCGTAAAACAATTTATACTCATATTCCCTAAAATGAGACAAGAAAAACTAAATAATCAGTTACTTTGACAAATAATCTGGAGGATCTTTTGTTGTTTCTTTGTGGTAGCAGTGATAGTTTCCAATGTTTTTTCTTCGTTTTCCATTTTACTGACTTATATCTGACAATCATATGCCTTCCTGCTCCCAGGACACGGGGGTCTGAAGACAAAAGAAAGTTACTGAAACATTCTCTCTAAAGCAGAATTAAATGTCATTCTGCTGAAGAAGCCTCTAGGGACAGACAGAAAAGGGACATGCCGCTGTCTACTAAAATACTCACAGTGATACCTTAATGAATCAAAATAATTTTGGAAGCATCTTTTCGTATTTTAAAAAGTAAATGCAAACTCATTGTATCACCAGGAAAAATACAGCTGATGTTGCCATAGATAAAAATTGCAACCTTTGCATCAGAAAGAAGTATTTTCTATATGAAGCAAAATTAGTCTGACACATATTCTTCAATCAAAGATTAGTATGACAATCAGAAATATATAAGGGAACAGAACTCTCAAAATTCTTTGATATTACTATTAACATCATCAATGTCACTATTACTATTAATATTTATCCTATCATAAAGCTACAGCTTGGAGGTAAGCAATTCAAACATTTATTATTAGCTGAAAATTTTTATAGCAATGAATTGGAAGAAAAATCTTTCAGCAACTGTATCTAGTTGGTATAATTAAATCTGAAATGTATTTGTAATATGAAAAAATTGCCTAGGAGAGATACTCGGACAAAAGAATTTTTCAAATACTGCTAATTCTGAATGGAAAAAACCCAATTATTTACTACTTTAAAAAAAGACAAATTTTTCCCATTTTGGATTGTGATTCAGGAAACTTTAAAGAAATACAACAAGCTTCTAGACATGCATATTAGATACACACTTAAGCACATTCTAAAATAGGGACTATCTCCTAATTGCTCTCACTTAATAGTAATAGAATTTATGTTTTGATCAGCTGCATATTGGCTTACCAAAATCTATGCTAGTACCTAAGAAGAGTTCTTGAAAAACATTTTATAACATTAAGAATTGAGTACATGTCTTAAGGGTTTTTCTAATACTCCATCATTAATATTAAACTTATCAAATAGTATCACTGGATTTTTAAAATTAATATAAAATATTCACTCTGTAGAGAGTATCATATTTTGCAGCAATATGGAGTAAATAGACAATTTAATTTATCCTATGTAGCTAGAAGGAGGGGAGAAGCATTTCTTAGTACTCAGTTCTAAGCACAGAAATGTATATCCAGAGTCAAGGCTTTGTGATTTGCATTTTCAGTTCAATGAAGTATACCTGATGATGTACCTTCTAAGATGTGAAATTACGTCTTTATCCACACAAATATATTCTCAACCTAAAGATCAGTTGTTATACTATAGTGTTATACTATTTAACACGATAAGCTTAAAATATCTGGAGAATTTTGGACATTTTGCATTTAGTATTGGATTTTGTTAATTAAAATGTGCTTTTAACTATATCTGAGATCCGTTTTAGTTAAAATTCTTCTGAAGTATTAATAAGATAAAATAAGAAGAACAGTAGTACTTTATTGGGCTAAATGTTTGTCCTTCCTTTACATAATCATTTCTGGAAAAAAAAAAAACAAAAAACAGGCACCTAATTCACATTACAACTGCACAGTGTAGGTGAAGTTGTTTTCTACACATCCATGGAACAGCATGTATTAGACTTACAGTCAAGAGAAAGTGAGTTTTCTTTGTAAAGAGAGAATGGATTTTTACAAAACATATTACAACCCAACAAATTAGCAGAGTGAGGCAAGTATTAGGCTGGTAACCTTCTTTATACACTACATAAGTCCCAGTCTGCAAAGCATACTCTAAAAATCATCCAATCAAGCTATTTTTCAATGATACACCTTCTTAAGTGCTTATAATGATTAAAGCTTTCTTCATGATACAGTGCATGGACATACTTATTGAAGAGAAACATTTTAAATA